AAAATAAGATTACTTGTTCCTCCATATCCAGACAAAGTATCTAAAAGAACAGACACATCCAAAATCATTTTTACATAAGAAGAAAGCAGAAGATATAATTTGCCTCAGAAGAAAATACAGAAATATTTATAGAATTAAACTTTTACTGTTCTGTTTTTCTGCTAATAGGTTATCCCCACTCACAGGCCATTGCTATATTAAACACTTTGTTTCAAGGAAAAACAAACCAAAGAGCTGCAAATGACCTACCTTCCAATATCTAGCAATTATTTTAATGTTACATAAGCCAAGCTTTGAAGAGAGAGGAATAATAAAAAGGCTAACAGAGATATGCTTAAGAACTTTTGAGGGTGGAGGCCAACATTGTGGTGTAGCAGGTAAAGCTGCCATGTACAACACTGGCATCTATATAGGAGTCGGTTCATGTCCCAGCTGTTCCACTTCTGATCCAGCTCTCTGCTAACGTGCCTGGGAAAGCAGCAGAAGATGGCCCAAATGCTTGGGCCCCTGCTACCAACATGAGAGACACAGAAGAAGCTCCTGGCTTCGGCCTGGCCCAGTTCCAGCTGTTGCTATCATCTGGGGAGCAAACTAGCAGATAGAAGATATCTTTCTGTCTCTCTGTCTCTTGCCCTATCTTTGACTTTCTCTGACTTTTTTTTTTTTTTTTAAAGATCTATTTATTTATCTGAAAGGCAGAGTTACAAAGAGAGAGAGAAGGAGGGACATAAAGAAAGAGATCTTCCATCCATTGGTTTACCCCCCAAAAGGGTACAACGATCGGGGCTGGACCAGGCCGGAGCCAGGAGCCAGGAGCCAGGAATTTCTTCTGGGTCTCCCAGGTGGGTGCAGGGGCCCAAGGACTTGAGCTATTTGCTGCTGATTTCTCTGGTACATTAGTAGGGAACTAAATCAGAAGTGGAACAGCCAGGACTCAAACTGTCACCCTTATGGGATGCTGGTGCTGCAGATTATGGCTTAATCTGCTGTGCCGAAGTGCTGGCCCCAATAAATAAATCCTTAAAAAAATAGTTTTGAGGATGAAATCTACTTTACAATTACTTGTAATTTAATTTGTTATTAATTTACTTTGAAATGTATAAAAAAAATTAATTGTTGAATGGTTAGATACACAGTGAAAGAAATATAGCAAAATGTGAATTGTAGAAGCTAAGTGATAGAGTATGTGGGTGTTTACTGCATATTTCTTTGAACGTGGTAATTCTGAAAATTTTCTAACTAAAATGCTTTTTAGGGAAAATATACTACTTACTATCTTCTATAGCATTTGTCTAACCAGTGTCAGAGACAACTATACCAAAAGCTATAAAGTGAAGACAAGAACTCAAACAACTCTCCAGGGACAGACACTATTTGTGGGAGAAGCAATACGCTGGAACCACGCTTTGGGAGGCCGTCTGTGGTTGCTTCCACAGGCCTTTACCCTTCCAGGAAAGAAGGGCTCACAAAATACATTCCATACATAAGAAGATAAATATCTGCTCAGCTAGAAAACTAACTTTCATGCTCTTTAAAATACATGTCTTTAAAAATTATCTTTCATTCCTAGTTACTAAAATAGGTTCCAAAGAATCCTTTGTAGATTTGAAGACATCTACAAGTTATTTAATTATATATCTAATTACAATGATATTTTAAAAAACTAAATATAGGCCCTCATAAATCTATATTGGGTTGCCTTTTGATATAACTGAAGACAATTTGAAGGGTTTGCATCAGAGTGCTTACAATCCTATCTCATTCAAAGTGTAACCCTCTGATAATTTCAATAGCCAAAGAGTCTGTAATTTTCTTTTTTCCCCCGAGACTTATGAGTAAATTTTATGTATCACACTCAACAGAAAGACACCAACAAACAAAAAAGTAGCTTTGAAAACACTCAATATAAGAATTCTCCCTGTACAGTCATCTCTTTGTATCCACAGAGATCAGTTCCAGGATCCTCTCAGACACCCAAACCCAAGGATGCGCAAGTCCCTCATAGAAGATGATGCAGCCTCTGTACAGAACCTACACACATCCTCCCATATTCTCTACATCATCTCTAGATTACTTATAATATCTAATACAACGAAGAACAAAAACTCTCTACTTATTTTTCCCAAATATTTCCAACCCAGAGGTGGTTGAACCTGCTGATTCACAATGTGCAGATACAGAGGATCAACTGTATTTTCAAAGCCTAAAGAATCACAAATTACAGTTAAATAAAAAGGTTAAGAAAAATAATGATTCAATAAAATCAATCTAATGTCAAAAAATTCAAAGATTAAAGAGGAAAAAACTATTGCTTTAGAGCATAACCTCAGTACTACGAAATTTTGAGCTGGATAAGCATGTAAAGGGTTGTCCTGTGCAGTGTGGGAAATTTAGCAGCACCCTTGTGCTCAATCAACTAAACACCAGTAACACTCCCCTCTCCAAGCAATGACAACCAAAAATGTCTGCAGACATTGCCAGATGTCCCCTGCAGGTAAGAAGCAGCACCCTAGAAACCACAAAAGAGAGCAACACAGGCAGGAATCACATTAAGGGCCTGGTTTGTCCTCAGAAGATGTCAAACCTTAACTTCTACTTGTTTGTGAAATCAAATGGTTCTACCCTAAATCACCAGAGGTTACTAGTTCTCCAGAAAGTCTTCCTTAACAATAACTTCAAGTCTTGGGTAGTAAACCTGAAACTAATCTATATATATAATCATAATCATCTGAGAGATATAGTCCATTTAGTCCTCCACCCAAACCAAACTTTATCCTTACAGGAAACCAGATCAACAGAGAGCTATGTACCCATGGGCTCACATAAGGATGCTAGATTTTTAAATGATCAGTTACTTAAACATAGCACATGGGGCCGACTGGATGGCTCCACAGAGAAAATGTCAAGCTTGTGTCACATAAAGCCACATTTCTACATTTACTATAAATATCTATTTTTAAAGCCTTTAGATATTGTTTATTTTATAATGTATCACATTCCCTCTTTGACATTAGGAAGCAGAACCCAAGTTACTACTGGCCACAGTGCCATGCAACAGTGCAGTTGTCCAAGGTATGCACTTTTTTTTTTTTTTTTTTGCCAGGCAGAGTTAGACAGTGAGAGAGAGAAAGAGAGAGAGAGAGTTAAAGACAGTGAGAAGGCACAGAGAGAAAGGTCCTCCTTACATTGGTTCACTCCCCTAATGGCCGCTATGGCCGGCGCTACACCAATCCAAAGCCAGGAGCCAGGTACTTCCTCCAGGTCTCCCATGCGGGTGCAGGGACCCAAGCACTTGGTCCATTCTCCACTGCCCTCCCGGGCTACAGCAGAGAGCTGGACTGGAAGAGGAGCAACCAGGACAGAATCTGGCGCCCCACCTGGGACTAGAACCCAGGGTGCCGGCGCCACAGGCGGAGGATTAGCCTAGTGAGCCACAGAGCTGGCCCAAGGTATGCACTTTTACAGAGCATGAGCTTCACTTGACCACCCTGCCCTTATTTCCTTTCCTCAGTGGAAAGCACTTTTGTCTCTAGTTGCCTTCAAATGTATCTATAGCAATGTATTCAAATATTTTTTTAAAAATTATGCTGGGAAAATGACATGAAACTCCCATCTTTGTATTTCCAGTATCTGAATAGAATCTAGCAAATTCTATTAACAGATATTTGCTACAGTTTGAATGTTGATAGCTCTCCAAAGTTCACACGTTGAAACTTAATCCCCTATGTGACAGTGTTTAGAGGTGTGGCCATTTGAGGATGGAGTTGAATATTCTTAGAAGAGAGGATGAAGGGAGTGTCTTGTCCTTTCCACACTGAGAAGACAACCTTCTATGATCAGGAAGCAGGCTCTCACGAGACAACCTGTGGGCACCTTCAACCTCCAGAATTGTGAGCAAATTTCTGTTTATAAACTACCCAATCTGTGGAACTAGGTTATAGCAGACTGAAAAAATTAACACAAGGTCGGCGCCGCGGCTCACTAGGCTAATCCTCTGCCTGTGGCGCCGGCACACCGGGTTCTAGTCCCAGTCGGGGCGCCAGATTCTGTCCCGGTTGCCCCTCTTCCAGGCCAGCTCTCTGCTGTGGCCAGGGAGTACAGTGGAGGCTGGCCCAAGGCCTTGTGCCCTGCACCCCATGGGAGACCAGGAGAAGCACCTGGATCCTGCCTTCGGATCAGTGCGGTGCGCCGGCCGCAGCGCGCTGGCCGTGGCGGCCATTGGAGGGTGAACCAACGGCAAAGGAAGACCTTTCTCTCTGTCTCTCTCTCTCACTGTCCACTTTGCCTGTCCATTGGAGAGTGAACCAACGGCAAAGGAAGACCTTTCTCTCTGTCTCTCTCTCTCTCTCACTGTCCACTCTGCCTGTCAAAAAAAAAAAAAAAAAAAATTAATTAATTAATTAAAAAAAAGAAAAAAAAAAGAAAAGAGTAATACAATATTTTTGCTCAAAATAATTTAAAAAATGCTTGGAAAGTCAGTATCTTAAACAGCTCTACCTGGATTTACCCGAAAATCAATTCCTGAAACATTGGGAACATTTCAAAATTTTCAAACTGAAATGAAGATTAAAAACTTCAGAAGAGGTCAAAGTTGGTATGCAGCAGGATAAGCCATCAATTGTGCCATCAGCATCCCCTATCAGAGTGCCAGTTCAAGTCCTGGCTGCTTGGTTCTGAGCCAGCTTCCTTCTAATGTGACTGGGAAGGCAGTAGAAGATGGCCCAAGTACTTGGGCCCCTGTACCCATGTGAGAGACCTGCATGGAGTTCCTGGCTCTTGGATTTGGCCTAGTCCAGTATTGGCTATTGTAGCCATTTGGAGAGTGAACCCATAGATGGCAGATCTCTCTCATTCATCTTTGAAATAAACATATCTTTTAAAACAAAACAAATAAAATAAAATACATAAAAACTAGAAGACTTTGTTAGTCATAATACTATGATAGTTGATTTTGTAACTTGACAGTTACTAACTTGTTTTTAAGCCTAGATAATCATATTTTGACTTATAAAAATTAGAGTACATATAATTTACCAACATTAACCAACTGTTATATTATATATACCAAGGGAGTATATATACACCAATATATAAAGGCAATAAAACAATCTTACCATGAACTTAATGCCTGGTTGTGACTGACTTCCAAGTTGCTTGATTTCTAGTTTAGCCAACATACAAGATAATCGAGTAGGTGCAAATAATACAGAGACGATAATGTCTTCTTTTGGGCGAATTCTGATCTCACAGTTACTGGTCAATCGCTCTTCTGAACCAAAAGTATTCTGAAGCTACAATTTAAAAACACTGACTGCATAAAACAAAGTGGTAGCACAAATAAAACGTACTGTTAACACAAACTCTTTACATGATGAATAACACAAAATGGTTTGCCTATGTTATGTGTGGACCCAGACGAACATCAGAACAAGAGACTACACATTCTACAAACCTGAAAGCAATCCTGATCTTGTCCTCTGATAAGGAGTCGAAAGTGTTGGGTTGTAGATGTAGAACTACTTCTTAAAGCTAGTTTCTGAAGCCTAAAAACAATTACATATTGTAAATGTGGATATTGCTAAACTTATAAAAACAAAGCCAATCAAAACCAACCACAGTGTTTTGCAATGCTAGCTGAGAAGCCAGAGTTGCCTCTCCACAGTCCCAGGACTTTTGTTTCTAAAAATCAGCTCAAGACTGACCTTAGCAGAGAAGCTTTTTGGTTTAATCCCTTTCGAATTAGAGCTCCTCAGCTGACTTTATTTTGTATGCTGTCTTGTAAAAGCATAAATCAATGAGAACCCAGGTGAAGAAACTCAGTAAGTCATCAGTCAATACTACACCCAGCTGAAATACACAGTTCAACAAGAAGCTTTCAGGTAAACAAGGGGGAAAGGCTCATTTGCACAAAGGTGTTTTATTTTTAAGCTTTATTTATTTATTTGAAAGGCAGAGCATCTCAGATAGAGGGCAAGAAGGAAAGAGGGAGAGAGAGGGAGAGGTAGAGAATCTTTCTTCTGCTAATTCACTCCTCAAAAGACCACAACAGCCAGGGCTGAGCCAGACCAATAGCAGGAGCCAGGAACTCCATCGGCATCTGCCACATGGATGGCGGGGGCCCAACTACTTGGACCATCATCCACTGCCTTTCCAGGAAGCTGGATCAGAAGCAGAGAGGCTGGGCATAAACTGGTACTCTAATATGGTACAGCAGAATTGCAGGCAGCAGCTTAATCTACTGCGTCACAATACCAACCCCTACAAAGACGTCTCTTTTTTGACAGGCAGAGTTGGACAGTGAGAGAGAGAGAGAGAGAGAAAAAGGTCTTCCTTCTGTTGGTTCACTCCCCAAATGGCCACTATGGCCAGCGCACTGCGCCAATCTGAAGCCAGGAGCCAGATGGTTCCTCCTGGTCTCCTATGTGGGTGCAGGGCCCAAGCACTTGGGCCATCCTCCACTGCCTTCCTGGGCCACAGCAGAGAACTGGCCTGGAAGAGGGGCAACTGGGACAGAATCCGGCGCCCCAACTGGGACTAAAACCCAGGGTGCCAGCACCGCAGGCGGATGATTAGCCAAGTGAGCCGCTGTGCTGGCCAGATATCTCTTTTAAACGGTGTAAGTGTATGAGAGTCCTCTCTTCATTGGAGAATATAGAATACAGGAGTCTCTATTTTATTCAAATTTGAAGATCATCAGTTAATAAATTATTTCAATTGTGATCTATGCTTTGTCCATCTTTTAAAAAGCTAAGACCTTTGGCTTCAGCACCTCTGGAGAAAGCCTTCCATAGGTACACTGACTTGAAAGACTGGAAGAGATACCATTTTGTGAAATTTTCATTTTTTAATTTGTAAATAGATAGGTATGATTTTAGTAGCAGACTTGTCAAAATGGGGGTGACAGCGCCTGGTTTCTAGGTGGTTTTTTTTTTTTTTTTTTTTTTTGATAGGAAGAGTAGACAGTGAGAGAGAGAGAGAGAGAGAGAGAGGAAGGTCTTCCTTTTGCCATTGTGTCACCCTCCAATGGCCACTGTGGCCAGCACACTGCGCTGATCTGGTTTCTAGTTTTTAAAATGGAACTATACAAAATAAAAAGACTTTAACATCTTTAGTCCATACAAATTAAGAAAAAATACTAAAATCCTAACCAACAGCTCTAAAGTATAGAAGTAAATGCGGGCCGGTGCCACGGCTCACTAGGCTAATCCTCCGCCTTGCGGCGCTGGTACACCGGGTTCTAGTCCCGGTCGGGGCACCGAATTCTGTCCGGTTGCCCCTCTTCCAGGCCAGCTCTCTGCTGTGGCCAGGGAGTGCAGTGGAGGATGGCCCAAGTGCTTGGGCCCTGCACCCATGGGAGACCAGGAGAAGTACCTGGCTCCTGCCTTCGGATCAGCACGATGCGCCGGCCGCTGCGGCCATTGGAGGGTGAACCAACGGCAAAGGAAAACCTTTCTCTCTGTCTCTCTCTCTCACTGTCCACTCTGCCTGTCCAAAAAAAAAAAAAAAAAAAAAAGAGAGAGAGAAGTAAATGCATAAGAAAGAAACTAGAATGAATAAAAGGGTAGAGAGAAAAATATAGAACTCCAACTGGAAATCCAAAAATTTCAAGTTGAAATAAAATATGATTTTGAATCATTTTACACTTGGAAAATAGAACTACAATTTACCAGTCATCATTCATGCCTGTAAGTAAAGCAAAACTCAAAGAATAATTCGTACTACTCCCAAATCATGTATTCATTAATTTGTACTCCACAGCCTGAACTTTGCTCACTTCAAATCTCCCTTTTGCATCAGTCACCCTTCTCCATCAAGGCAGGCCAAGAGGGGAAAGCACAGCCCAGACAGTTCCCAGCAGTCCCATGATACGATGGCCCTCTGTTTCTGAGCCCTCTCTTTGCCTTCGTGGAGACTACTCTGTTTGGAACATAAAGTGTACCCCTTTATCATGAACTCTGCTATAAGACTTAGAGGAGTACAAGCTTTTTGTGATGGAAAAAATTTTTCTAGGCAGGCCACCAAGACAGGGATGAGCAGAATAAAAAAACAAGTCACAATAGTATCTACAAAAGCATATTTAAAATCCACTTAATGCTTCGGGATTTTCTTTTCAGAAGCTAAATTTTCACCATCATTTGGAGTGCGTGCCATCAACTAACTATAGGCAGAGTAGTTCTCACAGGACTGGAAGTTCCTATAGACTAAGGTAAATAAAGAACACCACAGGCTTTCCAGATCAATTCCCTACACTGTACGGGGACTCATCAGGCATCTGCTGGATGAAATCTTCATAAGGAAGTAAGTGAGGACATAACAGACAATTAAAGAACACTTCATCCAACCACTTCAAAATATACATTTTCATCAACACATGGAACACCCTCAGGATAGAATGAATATATCTGTTAGAACACAAATAAAGTCTCAACAAATTAAAAAAAAAAAAAAAAAAAAACAACTTCATAGCAAGCATATTCTCTGACCACAATAGAATAAAACAAGATATCAAAAAGAATTTTAGACTTTTTACAAATACATGGAAATTAAACAATATGCTCTTATCCAGCCAGTGGATCAATGAAAAAGTCCAAAGGGAATTTTAAAAATTTCTTCAAACAAAGGAAAACAGAATTACACCATGCCAAAATCTTTGATACAGCAAAAGCTACTGAGAAGGAAGTTTATAGCCAATAGGCAAGAAAACAGAGAAGGAGGGAAGGAATGGAGGAAGGATGATCTCAAATAAATAACATAAAGATACAACATAAGAAACTAGAAAAACAAGAACAAAGCAAACCCAAAATTACTAGAAGTAACAAAAAACAAAGCAGAAATAAATGAAAAACAAATAAACAAAACATCAATGGAATGAAGAGTTGGTTTTTTTGAATAAACAAAATTGACAAACTTCTGGCTAGGTTAATCAAGAGAAAAGGAGAGATCGAAATAAGAAAAATGAGGGGCCGGCACTGTGGCATAGTGGGTAAAGCTGCCGCCTGCATAGCCAGCATTCCATATGGGCACCGGTTCAAGTCCCGGCTGCTCCACTTCTGATCCAGCTCAAGCAACAAGATACAACCCAGGGAATAGAACAAAATATTTGCAAACTATCTGGTAAGGGATTAATATCCAGCATATATTAGGAACTCAAACAGCACAACAGTAATCAACAACCCACTCTCCCAAAAAACTGATTAAAAAAAAGAGCAAAAAGGGCAGGCCTTGTGGTGCAGTGGGTTAGGCCACCGCCTGCAATGCCAGTGTCCCATATGGGTCTCTGTTCATGTCCTGGCTGCTCTACTTCCCATCCAGCTCCCTGTTGGGGCCTGGGAAGGAGGGTGGCCGAAGTGCTTGGACCCCTGAAGCCACATGGGAAACCCAAATGAAGCACCAGGCTCCTACCTTTGGCCGGGCCTGGCCCCAGCCAGTGCAGTTCACTAAGGGAATGAACCAGTAGATGGAAGATGTGTGTTTGTCTCTCTTTGTAACTCTTTCAAAAAAATTAATCTTAACAAAATAAATGAATCTTAACAAAAACCAACAAAAAAATGGGCAAAGGAGCTAAACAAATGGTACTCAAAAGAAACAGAAGTTAGAAATGGCCAACACATATATGAAAAAATGCTCAATATCACCAACGATTAGGGCAATGCAAAGTATAGCATCTCATCTCAGTTAGAATGGATTTTATCAAAAAGATAAAAAATTACAAATGCTCGGGGCCAGCACTATGGCGGAGCGGGTTAGGGCCCCAGCCGGTGGCACTAGCATCCCATGTGGGTGCCAGTTTGAGTCCTGGATGTTCTGCTTCTGATCCAGCTCCCTGTTAAAGCACCTGGGAAGGCAGCAGAGGATGGCCCAAGTCCTTGGGCCCCTGCACCCACGTCAGAGATCGCAAAGAAGCTGCTGGCTCCTGGCTTCAGATAGGCTCAGCTCTGGCTGTTGCAGCCATGTGGGGAGGGAACCAGCGGATGAAAGACCTCTCTCTCTGTCTCTACCTGTCGCTCCCCCTCTTCGTGGAGGAACGACACAGGACCCTGCGCTGTTCTTTCTGTCTGCTCGGCCCTCCCCGGGTTTGCTGCTGGTTCTTCCCGGGTTGGCTACTATCCCTTCCACCTCCGTGGAAGGGCAGTTCCCCCTGGCCACATTCCCCACTTCCGCAGGGGAGCGGCACACCGCCGGCCGGCTCTTCTCGGGGGCTGCACAGGTGTTCCTTCAGCTAGATGTTCCCCTTAGATGTTCCTGGTGCATGCCGTCTCTCTCCTCCTTTATAGTCCTCCTCCGCCAATCCCAACTCGGCTGCCCACACGCCGAGTACGCTGCTCTCCAATCAGGAGCAAGTCCTACAGTTAATTGGTTGAACTGGAGGCAGCTGTGCGGAAGCTGTTTACTTCTCTCCCAGCGCCATATTGTGGGAGAGCAGATGCATAGAATAAGTCTTAATTCCAGTAACTCAGTCTAGTCCGGGTTGCTCCCCACACTACCTCTCTCTGTAACTCTGTCTTTCAAATAAATAAAATAGATCTTTAAAAAAATTACAAATGCTGACTAGAATGTGGAGAAAGGGAAATGTTCATACCCTATTAGCAGGAATGTAAAGTAGGACAGTCTATGTAAAACAGTATAGAGGTTCCGTTAAAAACTACAAATAGAACTGCCACATGACCCAGCAATTTGACTACTGGGTATGTATCCAGAGGAAATTAAGTCACTCTGTTAAAGAGACGTCTGCACCCCCAGGTTTACTGTGGCACTATTTACAACATCCAAGATATGGAACTAACCTGAGTGGCCTTTGACGTCTGAATAAAGAAAATGTGGTATATATACAAAATGGAATATTATTAAACCATAAAAAGGGATAGAGGTTGTTTGCAGCAACATGGATAGAACTGGAGGACATTGTTAAGTGAAATAAGTCAGGCACAAAAAGACAAATACAGCATATTCTCACATCAAGGGTTTTCAAAATATTCATGGAAAATGTGTTCTATGGAGAAACCAGCCACAGACTAAAGATATTTTTGTTCCAAAATAAACTTAACTCTTAGAAGTTAAGAGTAGAACAGTGGTTACCAGAGCCTGGGGAGGGCATAAGGGGTAGGGGATGGAAACAGGACGGACAATGGGTACAGGGGTGCGGTAGGACAGGAGGAAGAACTTCTAATGTTCTAGGGCCCAGTAGGGTAACCATGGTTGACAACAATTAATCGTGTGTTTCATAGACGTGGTAGAGAAGATGTTTTAATGTCTCTAACACAAAGAAGTAATACATGTTTAAATCTATGTCTATGCCAGTAACTCTAATCTGACCTTCACTCATTGTATTATATGCACTGAAATACACTCCATAAGTATGTATAATTACTATGTGTCACTCAGAAAGTATATAATTACTACTTCCTCACTCAGGAAGAAACGAGGTAAAATATTTCCCTGATGGGTTGGCGAGTGCTTAATCTAGCAGTTAAAATGCTCACATCCCACTTCCCACACTGGAGTATTTGGGGTAGAATTCCAGCTCTGGATCCTAACTCCAGCTTTCTGTTAACACAGACCCTGTGATGCAGTCATGATGCCACAAATGATTGGGTTTCTGCCACCCACATCAGAGACTTGGGTTGAGTTCTAGGACCCCATCTTTTTTTTTTTTTTTAAACATGAGTTTATTTTGGTGCAAAAAATAATGAAATTCACACATGGTTTTTCATTATACATGTCTCTTATCAACTTTATGAACATTCTACCTGTGTTCACTTTAGTACATACTGGCAAGTGTCACAAAGTAGTTGTTCTGGGCCGGCGCCGTGGCTCATTAGGCTAATCCTCCGCCTGAGTGCCAGCACCCCGGGTTCTAGTCCTGGTCGAGGCGCCAGATTCTGTCCCGGTTGCTCCTTTTCCAGTCCAGCTCTCTGCTGTGGCCCGGGAGGGATGTGGAGGATGGCCCAAGTCCATGGGCCCTGCACCTGCATGGGAGACCAGAAGCACCTGGCTCCTGGCTTCAGATCAGTGCGGTGCACTGGCTGCAGCGGCCATTGGGGGGTGAACCAACGGAAAAAGGAAGACCTTTCTCTCTGTCTCTCTCACTGTCCACTCTGCCTTTTGGAGCAAAAGCTCCCGTGTCAGGATACAAAAGTCTGCCAATATGACGGACATTCAGGAGACACTCCTCTGCAAAGTTGAGAATCAGAAAATCCTGTAGCGTATCTTGGTCCAAGTAGAGCAAGCTCAGAACCAAAGAACTCTCAGTCCCAGGTCAAAGACCCGAGAGCCAGGGAACTTGCCAGGTAAAGTCCGTAGGAACAAAGGCCAAAGATGAGGTTGACAGGGACAAAGACAGAAGAGCAGCACCATCCAGCTTTGGAGCAAAGATCAAGCAAGTGCCTCTCCTCCAGTTTTTAACTTTAGGATGGTGCACGCCCACATTGAGGGTGGATCTTCTAGGCCTCCATCTTAAGCTCCCAGTCTAAGGCTGTTGGGCATTTGAGGAGTAAGTCAGCAAATAGAAGCATACTCTCTTCAAATTAAAGAAAAAAAAAACCTTGCCACTATAAAGCCGAAAAGCATCACAGTGTTCCTGTATGCAATTTACCTAATATAATTTTTGAAGAACGTTTAGCACATGTTAATTTGATTCATAATGAACTGAAAATAAGATTTCAGGATATATGGCATCTAAGGAACATCTGGGTTTTAAGAACAGCCATCTTTGCAGTATTAATTATTTGCTACAGATTTTGTCACAGCACGGACAGTTCTGTCAGGATCCACACAAGACTGCCTGTGGTTCTGACTCAGCTTCTTTGTATCTCTGACTTAAAGGACCAGATCCACTATAGGATCAACTATGTGTTAAAAAGAACAAGGTCGGGGAACAGTTTGGTGTTGCAGCGGGTTAAGCTACGACTTGTGATATTGGAGTCCTGGCTACTCTGCTTCCGATTCAGCTTCCTGCTAATAGACTCCGATTGCAGCAAAAGATGGCCAAAGTACTCGGGTCCCTGCCATCCAGGAGACAGACAGGGATGGAGTTCCTGGCTCCCGACTTTGGCCTGGCCTAGCCCCAGCCACTGCAGCCATTGAGGAGGCGAACCAGCAGATGAAAGCTTTGTTTCTCTTGGTCTCTACCTGGCTCCCACTCTGGCTTTCATATAAACAAATATGACTTAAAAAAAAAGGAATAAGCTTTCTGATTTTTCCTTCCTACCTTTCCATAACACTTTTCATAGGAAGAACACAAGAAAATGTAATCTCTTAATTACCTAAAAATTTTTTTTTTAAGATTTATTTATTTATTTGAAGGGCAGAGTTACAAAGAGAGAGAGAGAGACAGATCTTCCATCTGCTGGTTCATTCTCCAGATGGTTTCAACGGCCAGAGCTGGGTAAATCTGAAGCTAGGAGCTTCTTCCAGGTCTCCCACATGGGTGCAAGGACCCAACACTTGAGTCATCTGCTGCTTTTCCAGGCCATTAACAGGGAGCTGGATTGGAAGTGGAACAGCCAGGACTTGAATCTCCACCCATATGGGGTACACTGAAGGCAAAAGCCTAACCTTCTATGCCACAGCACCAGCCCCTTAATTACCTAAATGTCATTAGCAATAGAGAATTCATCAAAGAGTCTAGAAAAACTGAAACCTATTTCTTAAGGATACACTTTCAAAGAGAACATTTTTAATTAAAATCCACCAATTTGAAGATTAAGCACATGTAAGATAGCTTTATCTCAATCTAAAATCAATACTTGGTCACAATTAACAGAGAGTAACATTAGAATATTAAATAACAAAATATTAGCTCCCCAAGCTGCAGTGTGTATACTTACTGTGTTCGACCAAGAGGGACACCACCCCAAGTCAAAAACTGCTTGTTGGACAAAATCGATGGAATATCTGAGAAGCAAGATCCAGGTGACAGAGGTTTACTTTCTGAAGAAATTACTTCACCTTTTAACACTACTTCGTACTGAGGTCCGAACGGCTGCACAAATATTGTCAAGACCCTAACAAAGCAAAAAAAGAAAAGAAAAAAACTCAGCTGTATTAAATTCTTTTGGCAACTATATCCTACATGATTCCTTTGTCCAAGAGACTGTACTGGGTGCTGAGGATCCAGTGATTGTCCCACCCTTGGAGCTTATGTTCCAGAGAAAAACAGTCAAGGAAAAAATGATCAGAATAACATCCACATGGAAGGATGAGAAGTTCACAGTGCTACAGAACACGATTTGCAAGAGATTTGGGAAGGGCTGAGGAAGGCCTCCCAGACACGCTGAGAGCAAGCATTTCCGGCACAAGGCGTGCACAGGTACAGCCAGATTCCTGGCTTCTTCTGCAGGGTCTGAGCAGCAGACCAAGCACACGAGTGTCCTATGCAACCTGGGCTGCGCAGAGAGCCATAGGGGTCTCAGAAGGGTGTACTTCAAGTTAGGTTGAGGCAAACAAGTTCAAATACTAATGACAATGCTGTTCTGACTAAGTTCATATTCACTTCTCATCCAGGTGCCAAAAAACCATAAGCCTAGAGAATTTTAAATTAACTGACAAGGTCAAACTAAGGCTTCCTGGGAGAAAAACCAAAATTGATGTTTTATCATTTTCTCTTGTCAGAACAGACTTAAAATAGTGATTTCTTAATTTCTCTCCAGCTCATTTGAAAGATTTTAGTAACAAAAAGAAGAGAAGTTATTAGGCAGAACATGTTACCATTATCACTATTAGGTAAAGCAAAACATGTTAACTTTATTATTGAGCCTGCAAGTGAAGCACATCTAAATGAATGCTTCTCATTTACAATTCTCACTATAAATATTTGCAAATTACCTCTCCTCACGGCCTTTGGGGTTCTTTGGAGTAAATGAAACTTTAACTTCATGCTCTTCTCCAGGTTTAAGGAACAGATTCTCTGGATCCACTGAAAGTGACTTCCTGGTACTGAGACCTAAACATTGACACATAAGCATCACTAAATACTGACTAAACAAGTACAGCTTTCCCTCCAGTTCTTTCTCTCCTTGTCACTTTCTACGGCAGGGTATTTACCCCTTCCTCATGCCCACCACTATCCCAACTCACCCTATTCTCTTGGAAAGGATAGCTGTCCCCTTTTCTCCCACCCCTTCCCAATTCCCATCATTGACACCTCTCTCACTCTTGGGTCTCAGAAATACTGTCGACATACATAGAGCACTCCTCTCCAACACTACCTAGCCACAGGATGACATACACATTTCTCAGGAACTAATATAGAACTTGATGCCTAAATTCAAAACATTAGATTTTAGAATTAAAGCACCCTGGCCGGTGCTGCAGCTCACTACGCTAATCCTCTGCTTGTAGCGCTGGCACCCCAGGTTCTAGTCCCAGCTGGGGTGCCAGGTTCTGTCCCGGTTGCTCCACTTCCAGTCCAGCTCTCTGCTGTGGCCCGGGAAGGCAGTAGAGGATGCCCCAAGTGCTTGGGCCCTGCACCCGCAAGGGAGACCAGGAGGAAGCACCTGGTTCCTGGCTTCAGATCGGCGCAGTGCGCTGGCTGTAGCAGCCATCTAGGGGGTGAACCAACGGAAAAGGAAGACCTTTCTTTCTGTCTCTCTCTCACTAACTCTGTCACACACACAAAAAAGAATTAAAGCACCCTAGCATGTATATGTATAATCCAGATATTAAGGCACTGGCAGCGACTCTTCCACTGGAGCCTCATGGCTCTGATGAGTCAGGCAGCCCAGCAGCCTCCAGACAGGGGGAGACTCTGATGACCTGAGACCACTCTATAGCACCCTGACAGGAATTCTTACCTTGATATCTAGATAAACTTCAATATTCCCAGCATTTTTCAAAGGTAAGTGATGGTGTGTTGAGGAATTCACACTGGACAGTAAATGCATAGTCTAGAGGATGGAGCAATACAGGTACTTTAAAAAAAAAAAAAGTCACAAAGTGAAATCAATCTTAACACAAAATGGTAACGGCAGAGACATGTGAGGGTACCTGTAAATCCCTTGGAGCATGTATCCTAGCTACTCCTGCTCTTGCTCGGAGAGCAACACTTTGAAGAACTGGTGTAGGGTTTGGGCTGTCAACTTCTATATCAATTCTTGCCAAGAATTCTTCTGCTGAGTCTAGAATCTCTATAAAAGTTCATTCTTTTAGTTCACAGACCAAAGTTATTTTAATTCTAAATGCCACTAGCAGTTTAACACAATACCCTTAAAAGGAGTCACAAGAAAATTTAGGTAAGACTATTTAAAAGAATAAAAAGAGGAACAGAAATGAGTGGAGAGAGGTGGAAAAAGAAGGGAAACATCCAACTGGTAGTAGTGATAAGATCAATTATGAGAAAATATTTCCAAAGGTTTCTGTGTTGTTTGCTCAGGTTACCCACGCCAAAACAGCATGTTGTGCACCCCATTTTGTAAACAACATAAAGTAGGTGACAAATCATTCAAAGTATGCACATTTATTGACAGAGAAATAAACCTGAAGTCTGTAGTTTATTTAGCTGAGTAAAGCAATTCCCAGACAATGTAAACATAATACCTGAAGAAGCGATTAGTTTCTTGGACTATGGAAAAGAACCCAAATTATCAGAAATTCTGGATCCTATAAAATAAAAAAAAATTCTTTAGTAAGTGAATACTGGTATTAAGATTGAAATCTTAATGAAAGAAAAGCAGTGTGAAAACTTTCCCTTCTCTTTAACTCTAAGCCAATTCCTCACAATGCCCGACCTACCTGTCCATCATAACTGGCAGGAATCAGGTGACTGACTACAGAAGGGGCTGCCAGTTGAGAAACCACATCAGCACGAGGAGCAGCTTTCACAGAAGCATGGATGGGCTCCTTCGAAAAACGTGAAGCAGCGCCAGGCTACTGCATCCTGTCCAGAAAGAAGAATCTCTTTTAGTAAAGCTGATAGTGTAATGTTAAATTTGTTCACAGAATCCTTAAGAAAATAAGGAAAACAAAAATTAACCAAGGATTATATTAGCAATGCCTACAATTCCAAGTCCATGTAGTCTGCCCATGGTGTCTCACTGCATGTTAGTACTTACAGCATTAATCATCAGTCTGATTGGCACAGAGGCGGCGTGCGTCCGGTTATCAGTTTTAACGGGAGAGCTTTCCAGCTTCCATAAGTCAAGTCACCAAAATCAAGAACATCTTTTTTTTCTGTTTCTACCTAATTATTGAAGGAAAAAGAGATGGATTTATGAAAAGCAACATATTAGTAAATATCTCACCTATATTTATCATTGACTTTACTAACTACAAATTGAGAGTCAGTAGGACTATTTACAATTGTTTATTTCTACAAAAACAAACATTAAATTCTTCTTTTGAGGTACTATATATATCCAAATATATTATAAAATAAAGCAATATCTTAGCTGCCACTACTTTGAAAAGACTATAGATCTTAGGATAAACTGACAATTCAAAAATATGCAATCTCCCTTCAATACTTCTGCTAATAGAATACTGACTTTTCAGTTGCCTTCAAAAGAAATCTGAATGTTTAGTTATTTTCATATCTAATTAAAACTTCTAAAATACTGAAAATGTTTAAAATCATATCAAATAGACATATCAGAAGGTTTAATGTAAGTGCCTACTACCACAGAAGACTGATTTCTGTAAACCTGGAAGACCAACAAAACAGAGCTCCTACACCCCACATGCAGAAATGTAGGGTAACATTTACACACACAAACTTTTTTTTTTTACTTGAGCCAAATATTAAATACAGGAAAGTCAAAGGCAGACTGGCAAAGGGAGCTGACTTTGGTGGTGCCACATGAAGGTCTGTGTCCAGACTTGCCTCCAAGGAGGTCAAGTTTACATCTTCCTGTAACAGAAGACAGGATGTCAGGCTTGTTATGGGCAGAGTGAGGATAGATGGATCTAAACTCCATGCAGAAAGTCCAAAATTTCAAAGTGCCCTTTCTAGAAATAAAAGGGAACTGGAAAAACTTGTTCACACGTCTAGGCAGGCAACAAGGAGCCTATACAGGAAGGTGGAGGCATGGAGAGGTCACATTCAGAACATGAAAGCCCAGGCCTAGGCCATGTCAAGCACAGGAGCCCCAAGCTGAGACTCAAAGGAACCTTCAGGGCCTGGAATGCGTTTCAGTGTCATTCTGTAAGTACCTTTAGGGACACTTTCAAAATCCAGGAAACATGGGGTCCCCAGAGAAAAATGTGAACTCAAATTAAAATTTTAAGTATCAATTAAAAAATGAGAATCACATGAAGAAAATAAGTAGGATAACCAAGCAAAAGGAACAAGTAGAAGCACTAGTAACCCAAGAACTAGAAATAATCAGAAATATTATTATTACAAAGTAAGTTCATTTTAAATACAGGTAGGAAATAGAGTCAGTGATGGAAAAAGAAGATTCATGAGCATGAAGCAATGGTGAGCAAAACAACAGGAACTATGATAAAGACCAATCTGTTAAAATTTAATGTTGGGGCTGGCACTGTGGTGCAGCGGGTTAAAGCCCTGGCCTGAGGTGCCAGCATCCCATATGGGCGTGGTTCTAGTCCCGGTTGATCCTTCCAATCCAGCTCTCTGCTATGGCTTGGGAAAGCAGTAGAAGATGGCCCAAGTGCTTGGGACCCTGCATCCACATGGGAGACTGAAGAAGCTCCTGGCTCCTGGCTTCAGATTGGTGCAGCTCCGGCCATTGTGCCATGGGGCATGAACCAGCGGATGGAAGACGACTCTCTTTCTGTCTCTACCTCTCTCGTAACTCTTTCAAATAAATAAAATAAATCTTTAAAAAA